ATTTCCTGGCTTCAGTCCCCATTTCTATCAATGTTTGATCCCAGATATTAGAACTCTTTACTGTTTCTGTTTTCTCATTGTCTAGTTTGAATGTGTGTACGTTCTCTGTAGTCATTATTTTTGTGTTTTACTACCACTACCAGCATGTTAAAAAAGCATAGATCTGCAACATTAAGTTTGCCACCAAAATGGAAATCATAAGAAAAGTGGAGGCTAGCAAAAGAAAAAGTTATCCTGGATTTATTTTGAAAAGCCTTCAGGTGATCTCTAGAAGGTTCAAAATATTTTCTTTACTTATTCAAGGCTTACCTGACCTAGTTGTTTGATTTCACATGTGCACATTGTTAGTTTTGCATAAAGAGTTTGCTGAAACATGTTGGAGTGCTCTTGTTTTGTGGTGCAGGAACCTATCCCTATTCTTTCCATGCTATTTCTGCCACTGGCACCAAATTCTCTGTCAAAGAAATAATGCTCCGGAACACATTTACTTCCTTAACTGAGGTATACATGGACATTGTTGGGATGGGAAGGCATTTCCAGTCAGTGTGAAATAGCAAAAGCTTAAAACCACAGCGGGCATATATTGTGTTTAAAATTGTGGTGTGCACATAATTGAATAAGTTGAATCAAATACATGACAACTGTTTGTAAATCTCTGCTCAGTTGTGAGTTTTCTTTCTCCAATTGCTCTTCATCAGTCTTATTTGTGCTGTTGGAGGAATAAAATGGTGGTGGGGGTGGATAGGTGGCAGGGAGCGAAAAGCCCTGTTTCTTTCTAGCTCCTCTGAAGAAGGAGCTCCTCTTCGAAGAAGGAGGAGATAAGACTTTAATAGACAATAAATCTTAACTGATCCTGATGCAGTTGCCTTGGTTGCCAGGAACACCCAGAACAAGTTTAACTTGTTAGGCAGTTGGATTGAATAGTGTTTGCATGTTTTCTTTTGCTTCACTGCAGTACTGTAATTGTTACCGTAATATTCTTCCCTCCAATTTTTTATTAAATCTAAAGCAACTGATGTGGAAACATAGGCTCCTTAGTCTTCCCTTTCCTATCATTTTTCAGTTCCAGATTGCTTATCAGAAACTTCAGTGTGGTACCTAGGATTAAAGATACAAGATGTTAAAAGATCGCTTCCTTTATGTTGGTGTGTAATGTTTCCTGTTTACATGTACATTTGTTTTAATTTGATTTTATTTAGATTTATCAGTTTTGTAAGTGTGATTTTATTGGCTAATATTTATATAATTTTGTGATATTTTTGGTCAAATAAATTTTGATTCTGATTAAAGATACAAGTACCCAAGTATGTTTAATTTCACCTGCATAGGTAAATATACAACATGAGGCTTAAGTTGTAACCTAACATATCTGAATGGTAATGGGTTATGAGAGAGCGTGATTCATTGCACAGATGCCAGGCAAGTAAATGTTTACTGGATACTGGCTTTGGAATTGAAGGTGCATACAGAGAGCCAGGGTGGTGTAGTGGTTTGAGAATGTGACTGTGGCTCTGGAGACTAGGGTTCAAATCCCCGCTCAGCCATGGAAACCCACTTGGTGACCCTGGGCATGTAACATTCTCTCAACTTTAGAGGAAGGCAAAGGCAGCTTCCCTCTGAAGAAATCTTGCCAAGAAAACCCCATGATAGGGTTGTGCCTTAGGATTGCCATAAGTTGGAAATGACTTGAAGGCACACAACAACAACAATGTGCAAACAACAAAGGGCCTGATCACAACTCAGTGGTGGAGTTTTGCATGTAGAGAATGTTAGGACCAGTCCATCCATTCATCAGTTAAGTGTTTAATTGGTTTAAGTACGTTTAAGTGGCTTTATGGCTAGTTTTTATTAAAATATGATACTTTCTATCAGAAATATCCAGAGTACTTTATAGCAATCAGTTTAACATACAGGGAGAATGTACAAATAAAATATACACAAGCGGCATATATATAAAAAATGACACGATACGCATTGCCTATTGAAAGCATTAAAGAATAAAGAGGACTTAAGTTCCCCCTTGAAGGGAGTATCAGTGCTGTGTCTCCACCAAGCTGTCTTTTTGTATTCCATAAATAGGAGTTGTTGTTGTGTACCTTCAAGTCATTGCTGGCTTGGGGTAACCCTAAGGTAACTCCATCACAGGCTTTTCTTGGCTAGGTTTGTTCAGAGGGTTGCCCTTGCCTTCTGAGCTGAGAGAGTGTGACTTGCCCAAGGTCACTTGCTGGGTTTCCATGGTTGAGTGGCGATTTGGACCCTGTTCTCCCAGTGTCCTAGTCCAGCACTCAAACCACTATAGCACACTGGCTCCATAAACATAAACTCCATAAACTACCAATAAAAAGGCCTTGTTCTCCAGTCACTCTGTCCTATTGCGTAGGCTAGTAATTGAGACACACTCTTGAGACACAGAAAACTATGTAAAGGGTATTCATTAATCCAAAATCTACATAAGCCCAAAGACAGTGGCTTTTGCTGGGAGAGAGCAGTTCTGCTATATCTCTGTGCCGAGTGTGATTGAACCATGCAGAAGGAATGTGTTCTCCAAAAGAAGGGTCTTGTTGCATGTCTGTGTGAGTCACTCTTCTAAATTCACCTTGTTTCTTGGTAGGGGATGTTCAGATCCCTACAGAACAGTAGGACTCTCTGAAGGACACCTGATTTGTACTCATTTCCCCATAAGTATATCTTTTCAGATATATAAAGGAGGGGTATTTCTCCAGCTTTAGTTTGGATGGAGTGGGGAGAAAAGTATGTCTTAGGCTGCATCCACATTGCAGAATAATCCTGTTTGAACCCACTTTAACTGCCATGGCTCAGTGCTATGGAATTTTGGGAATTCTAGTTTGTTGTGGCACCAGAGTGGAGTTAAAGTGGTCTGAAAACGGATTATTTCTGCAGTGTGGATGCAGCCTTAGTTATCAGAAGTTGTCAGAGGTACACTGCATTTGTTTTTGATCTCCATACCTGTCTAAAGGAGTTGTCTGTGAGCCTAAGGAAATTGTAATTAATTCTGATTAAAGAAATTATTTCCAGTGTCCATCTTGCCCAGCCCCTGAGGAGAGTGAAGCTGACAAGTCTGTGCTGGGCCTTTCCATTTAGGAAACAACCTTTCCTTGTTTAGGATGCACTGGAATCCGTTTCCTGTCTGGTGTCTCACTGTGTGTGTTTTTAAAACTCTGATTAAAAATAGGTTGTGAAGGAAATGTTCAGTTTAGATGCAGCTAGAATTGCCAAGAAGGGAAATATATATAGGATGTTTGCAGCTGTGGTTTCTCCTGTTCTTCCTATATGAATTCACTCTTTCTTTAGTGCAGGGTTAGGGAATGTGTTTGACACTTTTGATGTTATGGGCTGCAACACCAACCAGTGCTAGACAATGGTAAGGGACAATGGGAACTGCAGCCCATGTTCCCCATCCCTGATCCAGCACATTTCATTTCTCAGGAGAGTTGGGGGGTAACACGTAGTAGTAGCATCTGAAAGAATTCCCCTCTCCAAAAGATAACATTTTGGGCATGGTAGATTCTGATGTTGCCCATTTTTGCCAGCACTGCAAAATGTTACTGCTGTGTGCATGCTTTACTAGACAATTGGGGGTTGCACACTGCCAGAAATAGTGCAAATTGAGTCCACTTTTAGGGTTAGGGTTAGGTTTAGGGAATCATGGGAACTGAATTTTATTGTGGCACCAGAGCTCTCTGACAGAGAAGGCTCAATGTCTCAGAAAAAAAAAATAATTCCCATGATTCCCTAGCACTAACCCTAACCCTAAAAGTGGACTCAATTTACACTATTTCTGGCAGTCTGCAATTCCCAATTGTTGCACAGTTAGTTCCATAAAAGAGCACGCATGGTTTGTAAAGTCTTTGCAGATGATTCTGTAATCATTGGAATATACTGTAGTTCATAGTGAATGCTTGTTGTCCTTTCCCACTATTTCTTCTGTAGAGGTTTTTAAGAGTTTGGAAAGTACTAAGTACTATATTCAGTTAAAATCTGGATTTGAAAGTCAAACTCTGTATATCCTACAATTTCTGTCCTGTGCATATTCATAATGGGCCTGACTTTTTATGATATTTCATTATGATCTTGAGAGCCAGTGTGGTGTAGCAGTTTGAGTACTGGACCACAATCCTGGATAGTGTGTATATGTGCAGGTTGCCTGTCAACTTAGGGCAACTTCATTAATTTCATAGGGTTTTCTTAGGCAAGAAATACTCAATGGTGGTTTTGTCAGTTCCTTTCCCTAGACTAGGGTTTAAATTCCCCACTCAGCCAAGGAAACCCACTGGGTAACCTTGGACAAATCAACCTTATGATGTGGGCAAATCACCCTCAGAGGAAGTCAGGGGCAAACCCGCTTTGAGAAAATGCTAGCACAAGGTCTGCACAAGCTGGAATCGATTTGAAAGCATGTAACAACATTATGATCTTAAGCTACATATTTTATTTTTAATTAAAGATATTGTGAAGCATGTATATTCTTATGGATTGCTCTCATATTCTAGTGTTTGTGGTACTGATCATGGTTTTAGCTCCTGCCATTTATCCATTGTGTAGGTATTTGTGTTTGTATTTGGTCTTAAGTCTTGTTCTTAAAATAATGTTAGATTGTGTTTGCATCTTTATGGTTTTTCCCCCCTACTAGTTTTAATAGTTTGTTTGACACCTACAGGAAAACATTTTACTTTAGGTCCAATAAATGTATGGCACCTTCAGCTTCTTAGAAGAGAGGTGGGAAGGAAATTAAATAAGGATATGGTAGGTAGACCTTTACCTGCCCATGTGGGTATTCTAGATAGTCAACGTAAGTGCTCTTAAACCATCAGCACTGGCTGTCCTTCGTAAATGTTTTAAGACATATCAATACCTTGTTGCATCTCTTGCTTGCAAAGCTAAGTTAGTGGCCCCATGGGACTCTTCACTCAGGTAAGTGCTTTGCTTGTGGCCATTGTTAAACTTAGGTTTCTTCTACACTACACAATTATTGGCACTTTGATACCACTTAACTGTTATGGCTCCATACTATGGAATCTTGAGATTTGCAGTTTTCATGGGAGACTTTAGAGTTCACTGCTAGAGTCCTCACTAAACTACAAATCTCAGGATTCCAAAGGATGCAGCCATGGCGATTAAAGTAGTACCAAACTTCTATAGTTGTGCATTGTAGGAAAGGAGCCTTAATTGTACTTGAGATGATGCCTGGTTTCCTCACAGTCTTTGAGAACCAAAATGTGTTGATTTAGTGAAGAATAGCTAAATGTTATGAAAGACAAAGTGATCCAAACTATAACGTGTGATCTTGCTCTTAGGCTGTGCTTCAGCTTCCTCCATGAGCTTAATGGTTTATTAGGAATTGTTGATGTAACCTTTCTGAGCCAGGGCAATGTGTATGATATTATTCCCAAGAATGTATCATATATGCATAACATCCCATCCTTTATTTACTTATTTATTTACTTCTATCCGTCTTTCTCCTTAGTGCGATCCAAGGCAGCTACCATATTTTCCGGCGTATAAGA